ACCTTACAGAACATAAGCCTATCTGTAAGGGTGCAAATTTTGGAGGAAATTGGTTGATGTCAACCTCAACCACAGGTGCCAGAATCTTTGACTATTTATTGTCAAGTAACATAAAATTGACTCTACTCTTTCATTTTTGTTTTCATTTTACATGAAATTTACACCTTATATGTAGAGTGAACGTCTCTACAATCTCTATAGAACACTTTATTCCCAAGTTCATTTATTGATTTTATAAATATTTGCAAACATGATATATTGGCATAAATTTTTGGGGAACTTTGACTATTTGTATTCGTAAAACTAAACATATTTTGTATAATCCCCTCTTATACAAATCCTTTATTATATGCTAATGTGATAGATGAGTGTTATAGAAATTATTTGATTTGAAACTTGTGGTTGTAATAAATTATTGAAAATGTGTAAAATTCATTGAAAAGATGACAAAACAAATCCTCCCTTTCTATTTAGGGTGCGATACTGAAACGTCGCACAGTTGCAGCTCTTTTTATATACAACTAGTAAAAAAAGTTTGATTCAAATTAATAACTTTTAATTTACAGTTATACGGCACCTTAAGACACCCAAGAGGTGGCACAGGCATGAATTGCCCATAAGGAGCTGTAATGAGGATTCGAACCTATGTGGTGGTTATTCCCCCCCACACACACTCCAGACAACCAAGCAATGACTTGGTAAAAGGATTGCAACCGGGAGTTCTACGCCACAGTGCATGGGGGATTGTGTGGAAATCCTGGCCTGGCTTCAGTGGAAGCCTTAGGAAACCCTCATATGTTCAGTAGAACTGCAGGTTGCAATCTTTTTACCATGTCGTGATAAAAAGTTGTTTGGGATGTGTGCCTGGGACTACCCACTGCATAGGTTCGAATCCTCATTACGGCTCCTATGGATTTTCTCATTGATACATCATGTTAGTGTGATTCCTCTCTGTAAATGGGATTAATCCATTCCAGACCTCAAAAATAAATTTATTTATGCAGTTTAGCTTGTGACCAAAGCATTACTTAACCCCTGGGCTGCTCATTCAATTATTGCCTGAAAACTCTCAGGTGCAAGAAATAAAAAAATAAAAATTCTTATAAAAGTATTCATTTGTGTTCCCTGATCACAGGGAAAATAATAATAAAATCGTAGTTGGCATATTTTGGCCACAATAAAGTGGGAAAGTCTGACAAAATTGAGGCGTTGACAGAGCAATGTGTTGGCATTGACAAACCACCTTAACAGCCCAAGTGTTAAGGTGGTTTGGACTGGCAGACATGGGGCAGGGCATTACCTCGGAGATTTCACAAAAAAGTGAGGTAACAGGGTAGGAGGACATTCAATGTTTAGCAGATACTCAGAGGACAGTCAGCAGAGAGTCGGTCCATCTTAGACAGTGTTCTGGACACAGACAAGACCAGTCTCTGGACTTGGGCTTCAGGCCCAGGTTCAAATTGCCATTACTGAAGGGAATGCTAGATTGGGTTGAGTTGCAAGTAGAGCTTTTTAGAAGTACTTTATTATAAACCCTTATCATATGTTTAAGGTTGGAGATGGCTGTATTTATGTAGGCTACCCATTTCCTCTCGAGTGATTTCCAGTTACTCCCAGTTCTTTATTATGTTATTGCTTACCTTTTAATGACTAAGGGGGGGGGGAGTAAGATCTAGCCATTTATACCTGGTGCTAATTACCTCTCTCAACATTAACTTTTTAAAGTTGTTGATGGAATTGGCTTCAACAACCACCTCACTGCATTCCACTTGTCGACCACCTATACCGGGAACGAGAACTTCCTTACATCTCTTCAACTTGGTTGCTCATCCAGCTTCCACTGATGTCCCATTGTCCACTGTCAGCTCCTAGGTCCATGATTGTTCAATATTCTCCTAGCACGTATATGAAATATTGCCAGAACAAAAGTGGACTTCAAGAAATACTTAGTGTCCTGCTGGAAGTGCTGGACCAACTGAGTTGTAGTGGATATGTAGGTCTGAGGACCGCTCCGAGCAACAGTCTGTTCTACCAAGTTCTCACAAATCAAGCCTGGCCCCAGACTGAGCTTGGGGAGTAGAACAACTCTCAGAACACCCTTCAGGATCCAGATATTTCCCCAAAAATCTTGCATGTAGTTGTCATATCCAATCATGTCCTACAGACGTACACTCCCAAAACATGAAAAAGCAGACAACAAGGATAATGTAAAAAGATACAAAAATGATTATTCAAGGCCTTCCAGAAATATCAGTGGAAACCAAGGCTGAATGCTTGCCTAAAGAAAAGGAATTGGCCACACGTATCCTTAGGCTACTACACAAGGCTGAGAAAGACTTGATAGAAGTTTACAGACTGAGCTCATATGCAACAGCACAGTGACTTCAAAAAATGAGACCACTAAAATTGGTATTCATAAATGGTGTGGCACTAAGAATCCTGATGCGGCAAAAAAAAAAAAAGGTAACCTAAAAAACTTTGAAGGCTACAGAAAGGTATACCTTGAATATGACAGGAATAATAGTGAAATAAGAGAACAGTAAAACAGTGGAGGGAAAGAACAAGAGAGGGAAGAGGGTAACAGGAGGAAGAATCCCACACTACTTTCCTGCAGCTTAAAGAGCAACCAGCCCAAAATAATGGCATGAAGAGGAGGCAGGCGTATACCTAGAGAGGGTTCCGGGAGTTCTTTTCGTCTGATCGATTACAAAAAGAACAACCAGGAGGAGGACATAGTTATGACCAGTAACCAATGTTGACAACATTGTTGACAATAAGACAATAACTCGGGCTCCACACCTATATCCTTTTCCCTTGCCAAACGTAACAACCTCCCAACGCTCATCTTGCAATCCACCGATCCCCTCTTCCACACAACATGGCTATTCTTTTTGTGCTTCACTGATTTCAGATTCACAACATATATTAACACTTTCGCGCCCCCTTGGATGGTAAAAAAAAAAAAGCAGTACAGTATGTGCGCGTGGCGTTTTTGCCGCGTAAGCGTAAAAACAAAAATGTGTATACTCTTTTTACTCTCCTGACCTTAGTTCTCGAGCTACGTATTTCATTTTGGTACCAACGTGTTCGCAATAAAATTCTCTAGAAGAACAGCAGTAAAAAAAGTCACGAAACGTATAGGGATACCAGCACCAAATAAATAACCACGAAGATGACTCGCCTTGAGCGCCCAACAGCAACAAAATGTTTTTACTCTTGGGATTGTTATCACCTCCACACTTGTCCTACAGCGTTAATTTTGGTATCAATGGACTCACAATGAAATTCCCAACACGGTGATATGAATATAAGCGTAGAATAATGATCGCGGCCCACCCGCAAGAGTGTGGGAAGTGGCGGAACTGTTACCCGGTATCGGTGACGGGACGACACATGTGCGATACGGCACTTTGAAAGTTTACTCTTATTTCACTCTCATGACATTATTATTCTATGTACGTCATTCATTTTTGTGTCAATGTGTTCGCAATAGAATGTTCTATGAGCCCGTAGGTAAAAAAGATCAACAAAGCGTAAGATAGAATAGCGCCAAATATAAAACAACGCTGGAACATATCAGTGAGCGTCAAACACACGAAATGTTTTTACTTTTGTTATGTTTGTCAAGTTTATACTTGTTGCACACAGTTATTTTTGGTTGTACATTGATCGGAATAAAATTCCCTAAACAGACATATGCATATAATACATGATATGGGGGAAGCATTACCAGTATAAACGGCTAAAGTCACCCACCTGCAACCCGTTTGGTTGCAACCACATTTGATCGAAGTGGTCCACACCTTTCATGAATTTATTGTACCATGCAGCCTAGTGGTGAGAAAGAGAGCCTCATGGCGCGCAGTTTGAAACAAACCCAAAGTAAATCGGATTAAAATTGAATTTTATACAAATATTTTAAAAGAGGACATAAATTTATGTCCACCATGCGGGAGCGGGTAAGCGAAACAGGACTCCGGGAGGAGCCCTCATCTGCAGAAAGTGTTATTAATAGCCTACTCCCAACTAACAAGTCCTATTTTCCCCTCCCCCCCTCCCTTTCCCACTACCTCACTGCCTTTCCCACTACCTCACTGCCTTCCACTGCCAGGCTCGCTCTTCCACGCAATCCTCCAATACCTTCCATACCTTCCACACATGAACCAACCCAATATCCCACCCCAGGCTGGACGCTGCCCATATAGAACGCACTGTTTCAATGAAGAGCCTAAAAATCTGGTACACAAGTGCTGATGCATTGTCAAACAAAGTAGATGAATTGAAAGAAAGGAGTGATGAAGCAAGTAATTTATCAAAAGAAGGCACCAAGCTGGGGAGACTCTAGCACCATCAAAGTTACAGGATGTTCATAAGGAGGTAAATATCACCAAGGTTATTTGTGCTGCTTCTCCATGAATCTTTGTCATTCACATATTGAAATCACATTGATATAATGCATCAATGAAAATTGAGTAGGAGCCATGACGAGGATTGTAGTTCGCACATTTGGTATTCTTAACGCCCAGACCACTGCACTGCCAAGGGGGCATCATTTGATCTTGTTGGCTTCTCATTTTTTCTAAACAAAAAAAATTAGCAGCTGGGGAAGCTGATTGCCAAGTTCTTCAACAGGTCTTTGGGTTGAAACCCCTCGTTCAACCCCGTCAGGATCATGGTTGTCTTTGGGGTTTTTGGTCTCTTAGATGAGATGCTTTTGTGTTCTCTTCCCAATACATTTACAACTAGTAAATACAGATCTCCTGAACCACCACAAGGTAACCTGCACACATTCCCATGTGTGTAACAATCGGAAGTTAAATTTTCTCTTGTATCTCCTTACTAAAACTAATCATCTTTATTTAGTACTGTACTTGTTGTGTGTGTTCAAATCAAATTTGAGAAGCATTATGGTATCATTGACAGTGTCTTGGAAATGAATTACTATAATTCAATAAAGTTTTATTAAAAAAAAGATTAAAAGTATTTATTTTCTCTGGTAGTGGTTACTTGAAAGCAAGACAACATTTGCAAGAAGCTAATTATGGAGAAATTATTGAATGCTGTCAAAATGAATTAGCCAACCCTCTGACTCCACACAAAGTGGAGTCTCTGCTGTTGCGTGCCACACTGTACCAGCTGCGAGGGGAGAGCAAGCGGGCCATGGACGACCTCACTGCCCTCATCAGTATTGAAGACAGCGATCTCAAGGTGAATATGAAAGTTGCTCCAACCACCTTCTATAGTGTTTGTGATTTTGGTTTTAATTTTACTTTTATTTTATATTTGTATCAAGTTTGGGTTGAAATGTTCTTGAAATTAATGTTCAATAACTTGTCATCTGTAGTTGTATATTGTTTATTGGCATCCTCGTAAGGGGCCTCGTTGCCTGGTGGATAGCACGCAGGACTCGTAATTCTGTGGCGCGGGTTTGATTCCCGCACCAGGCAGAAACAAATGGGCAAAGTTTCTTTCACCCTGAATGCCCCTGTTACCTAGCAGTAAATAGGTACCTGGGAGTTAGTCAGCTGTCACAGGCTGCTTCCTGGGGGTGGAGGCCTGGTCGAGGACCGGGCCGCGGGGACACTAAAGCCCCGAAATCATCTCGAGAAGAAAGATCCCAGGTAATGATATCAATTTTTTATTATATTTAAGGTTTCTGTCCAACATGTTGAGAATGTATCATTGTACATTACAGGCAGAGAGTATTTCATTTACTGGTATTCTGTGGTGCGCTGATTTCTTGAAAAAATTTTCCTATTAAAAATTATAATAATTCATAATACTGTACAGTACAGTGAGTTCTTTATGTTGTGTGAAAATTTGGTGGGGGTGCAGGCACTTTTAAACCTATGACTTTTCTTTATCAAGTCCCTCTTTCATCAGATGGAAACAAGTTAAATCAACATCTTGCCTGTTCTTGCCACCTCTCTCTCATAAGTTAATGCATGCATGTCTTCTGTGGGGAGCCCCGTCGGCTCCCTGAAGCTCTCCAAACTGATATAGTGCTATATTAGTTTGGGGTCATCATTCACAGGAGTTCTTATGCCTACCGGAGACCACAAGCCAGAACCTGTGACCCTCAGAGTGGTGCAGGGAGCAATGGCCTATGAGCACTTTGTATTTAAAATATATCATAATTGTCATTAACCGGGGAAGGATCCAGAAAGTAGGTGAATCAAAACAGACCACTGTCTGGTTAACCTGTGCAATCTACATCCTAAAAGATCAAAATAACTCCTAGAAAGAGACCAGACAAGAAACCCTTCATTTGACTAGCACTTCCGCTTGTTAGTTCTACCCCAGAGGGAGCTGCTCACCGGAGCCAGCAACCCACTACTTCAGTTCTTGAACTGATGTGCTAGTGGTCAGATCAGTCACCTCTGGCCTCAAGTTCCTGTTATGGATTTTTGTTGTTTGTGGCTGTTCCTGCTGTGTGTGTGTGGGGTGTGGTGGCCAGGTATCTTCATACAGGAGCAGCATGAGCCTAGGGTGACCTTCCCTAGGTGCTCCGTAAGTACTGCCCTTGTGTCTCAAGGTTATCTTCCCTGGGGCATTCGGGAATCACTCCCTGTTTGAGGACATCATCGCTTGGTGTTGTCTTCACCCCCTTTGGGAATCGTCGGGGATCTTGGGCTTTCCGTCTTGCCCCGGGTAGGGGAGTGTTAATGGCTTCGTTGGGTCGGTGATACCTTTGACCTGGAGTCATGCGAGACTTGTTCCCTGCTCGTTCTTCAATTTACCCATTATTCTTCAGAAGTTCTTAGGGGCCAAGTGGCTGTCGTGTTGCATGGTAGGTTTTTGTTGTTGAAACGCGCTAGGTTGGTCGCCCGCTCGAATGCTCCGGCGCTGCCCTATTTTGGTTTTAGGAACCCAAACTTGATGGCATTGGTGGCTTCAACCTTGATTCAGTCCACTCCAGTTGGTGTGGTTTGCCCTGCTCCTTTTTTCCCTGCTGCCGGCTCCCAAACGTCTGAGGTTTTCGGAGCTGAACTTGGTTGGGGATGAGAGACTGGTAGCTCCGGGGACTGTGCCATTCAATGCAGGGATGGAGTCCTTTGAGCCTGAGCCTCCCACTGAGGCATCTGGGTCTTCCCAGCAGACCTCTTCTTTGCTGCCTTTCCCTTGGACTCTGCTTTTTCTTCAAGGGTGGAGAGCGTGGAGGACGGCTCAGCCCCGGGGCCTGGGTTTGAGGCTTCCGGGGCTGAGGGTAAGTCAGCTTGGGGCTCTTGGGTCCCAGTCAACCCCACCTGGTCCTTGGTTCCCTTGGGTTCCAATCAACCCCACCTGGTCCTTGGTTGCCTTGGGTCCCAGTCAACCCCACCTGGTCCTTGGTTGCCTTGGGGCGGGGTTTGCTGTTGCAGGGTTCGGGGTTTTCATACCCCCCTTTCCCTGTACGAGTTTCATTTAAGTCTGGGTCCTCCCCGAGTTCGTTTCCGGGTTCCTTTCGGTTCTGTGGTTTCATCCTTCCAGAGGTTTTCCACCTCTCGGATATCCCCTGCGGAGGTTCGGGAGGCCCTTGGTGCGTACCTCCTGCGAGACACGGACTTTGCCTCTGTGATGGATCCGGTCTCTTCTTGAGTTCGGTTCTTCTTCCCCCATATTGGATGTGTTATGGGGTTCCAGCATCTTCCAGGCTTGCAGACTGCCCTTTATTTTGGCTGGGGGCGTGGCACGGGTTTTGTCGTACGCATGCGCTGGATTGGCGGGAGGTTGCTACAGTGTTACAGGTTTACTTGGGGGTACCTTTGAGCACCTCAATGCGTGTCTTTATGCCTCTGTGCTTCCTCTTGAGGATGGCTTGCTCCAGTTGCACACTTAGGTCCCTTCCTTTTTGGCTGCCTTGGTGGTAGAGGATCTTCATGCTTGCGGGCATCTGGCCTTGTCTTGCACTTCTTTTTCCTTCGCAAGTTGTCCTCGGACCGGCTTATGGAGGATGAGGAGGCATTGAGTGCTGGGCCGTCGTCTGGGGCATTGGCCTCGGCTGCTAGGGTCTGTGACTTCCCTTTCCCCCTCTCGAGGAGGGAGGAGCTGCGCAGACAGCAGCGCGGCAAATACATGCTTGTTTGCTTGTTTTCGTTTTGGAGAGTTCTGCTTGCTAGTTCGACTTTTGGTCACAATTTTTAACCAGCTGTAGTTTGTTTTGGGACGCCTACCTTTCTGGGTGTCTAACTCGGTTGATGGCAGACATAGTGTTTCCAACCACATGGAGATTTCTATAGGCCATTGCTCCTCATGCCTCTCTGAGGGAGCCAGGTTCTAGCTCGTGGTCCCCGGTAGGCTAGAACTCTATTGAATTGACTGACGCCACAGTCTAATACGCACATATCGGAGCCTTCGGGACTCGTACAGAAAATGACGTTTCATTACAATCAGCGCTGGTTTTTTTACTAAATAGATTCTCATATGGTTATTTAAATTAAGATGGCATCTTAAATATTGTACATTACAAAATGGAAAATCTGTTTGTATCAAGGTTTGTATAATCTTATTACATTGTGTGAAATTTGTTTGTTACTATATTTCAGTTCTTTTCCATTGTGTATACTCTTTTCTGATCATAAACATAATAAATAGTCATATACATATTTTCTCAATGTGAGGTTTTCCTTATTGCATTACAATATGAAAGTTGTGTACATGTAACAAAAGCATTAACTCACTTTCAATAACCTAACTTTTTCTTGACAGATGCTTGTAAATGCCTTAGTGAAGCGTGGCTCATTATACATGCAACATGAAAAAGTAGAAGACAGTCTTCGAGACTTTGACCGTGCAGCTCTCCTTGACCCCACCAATTCTGATGTATTCCATCACAGAGGACAGGTATGAGCGTGCAACTATGTGTACTGTTTATATATCATATTTTAGTATCATAATTCTGAGCTTGAACATTCAACTGCTCACTCATTTCAAATATGACTGTGCAGGGTTATGGAATATGCAGTCAAGTAGGGATACCCAGTGCAATAGACAATTTTAAAGTATTTTTGCAGATTTAATTTGCTGAGGCAGTCATTGTAGAATTTAGTAAATTAGTCCAGCCCTTAAATGACAGACAAAAGGTCAATTCAAGAGAAGTGAAAACCCTTCCAAGCACTTGGTTGGCATCACAAGGTACATGGTGATCATATCACCACTTTTTCTTCTGTCTTCTAATTTTGGGAAGACAGAAGAAAAAGAGGTGATATGATCACTACGTACAAAATAGTAACAGGAATTAATAAAATCGATAGGGAAGATTTCCTGAGACCTGGAACTTCAAGAACAAGAGGTCATAGATATAAACTAGCTAAACACAGATGCCGAAGAAATATAAGAAAATTCACTTTCGCGAACAGAGTGGTAGACGGTTGGAACAAGTTAGGGGAGAAGGTGGTGGAGGCCAAGACCGTCAGTAGTTTCAAATCGTTATATGACAATATGACAAAGAGTGTTGGGAAGACGGGACACCACGAGCGTAGCTCTCATCCTGTAACTACACTTAGGTACTTACAAGTGACTTATATGCAGCAATGGCTAAAGGCTCAGACTGAAAGTAGACTTTAGTCAGTAGTGACAGAGGCTGTAAGAACCATTCAGATCATGAAATGCATGAAGCAGTAGTTGAAGAGCTTAAAGTCTGTAGTAATCTGTGATGTACTATAGCCTGAGGGAGACTTTGCAAAAGAAGATAGAGATTGGAAAAGATTCCAAAATTCTAGCAAAGTTTGGGTGCATTTGTAAATGGATGAAATAGTAAAAATAATATTTAAAAACAATTCTCCGGTGAAAATGTAAAAATGTAACCCCATAAATGGTTACCCAGAGAAGTCATCCTAACATGATACGTATCAATGAGAACATCAGCCGGAGCTCTTATATGTGACTGGAACCCACGACTAATGGGCCCATCCTCTTTTGATAGTAGTAATAGGGAGGATGAGGACCATAGTACATATACCCACCTATGACCCAATTAGAAAGTAGAAATCTATATTATTGATTTTGGACAAGTCGGAAAACCCATTTTCTACTTGTGTTGCAAAGACAAACTAGACTAACCTAACCTTCCTAGGCCTAATAGAGGCTATCTGAGGCCTAATATAGTACATGTTTGTGCTGTATTGGCCCAAGGAATAGTTAAGTTTGTTTTTTAGCTTCAGTTTTTTGGACTTTATAAAGTGATTTGTACAAAATTCTACTACATTATCTAATTGCTTAGTACGTCATTGTTTATACGACGGTGCACATAGTTAAAAATAATACTATCTAAATAGGGGATAAGGTTGTGGCTTGCCAGCTGCAACCTCTACCACTGTACCACCCTGACCTGTTATTTTTTATACAACCTGGTATACTGCTGAATTGACAGGAAGTGTGGAGGCCTTTCCTGAAGCCATTCCAAGTTTTATCTCCCATATCCCTGGGGGGTTATACATAAACTTGTATAGCCTTTAGCCTTTACCCATGTCCCAGGGTATATCTTGAGCTTATCTTGAGCTGATTTCAGGGCTTTTTTTTAGTGTCCCCGCGGCCCGGTCCTCGACAAAGCTTCCACCCCCAGGAAGCAGCCCGTGACAGCTGACTAACACCCAGGTACCTATTTTACTGCTAGGTAACAGGGGCATAGGGTGAAAGAAACTCTGCCCATTGTTTCTCGCCAGCGCCTGGGATCGAACCCAGGACCACAGGATCACAAGTCCAGCGTGCTGTCCGCTCGGCCGACCGGCTCCCGTAGCGGACAAATGTAAAACAGGTCCAGGCCTTTTCCTATAAATTCATTTAAAGCAATCTTCATGTAAAGGATAAAATCCAGAGATGGAGAACAGGGAACAGGACTAATGAGAATGGAAAAGAAATGTGTGAAATGCTAAATTAATGCCAAAGTGTGCTTATACAAGATAAGGATTTCAGAGACCCAGACCCCAATGTCAGTTCGAGAGCACACCATAGAATACACACAGGTATCTCAAGATGAAGTAGAAAAAATTACTTAAGGGGCTGTGAAGAAAGAAGGAAGGAATTTCTTCCTTTATTTCTCAAGGAAGAAATAAAGCAGTTGGACTTGGAGTTTCACTTGGGTGCTGCGAGCATGTGCAACTGAGCTGAGCATTTCACTCCAATTAATATTTCAGACATCCTTGTGCACAGGAATCTCAGCAGATGTATGGAAGAGGGCAAACATAGTTTCAATCTATAAAAAATGGTAGTCGAGAGGAACCTCTAAATTATAGACCCGTATCATTAACAAGCATGGTAGTCAAAACACTAGAAAAAATAGTTAAAGCCAAATGGGTTGAACACCTAGAGAGTAATGACATAATAACGGGCAGCCAGTATGGACTTCCAACAGGAAGATTCTGTGTAACAAATCTACTTAGTTTTTCTGGGGGGAGCCCCGTTCGTCTCCCCGGAGCTATCCAGGCTGATATGTATATTATTAGAGACTTAGACATCAGTCAGTGTGAATGGAGCTCAGGCCTACTAGGGACCATGAACCAGAAACCTGCCCCACTCCCCCCCAGAGAGAGAGGCACGAGGAGCAATGGCCTATAGAAGTGCACATGTGTTTGGAGCATTCTATGTCTGCCATTGACCAGGCTGGTCACCCAGAAAGGTAAGCTCCTCAAAGCCATCCCCTATTCTAGTTAATACTACTACTGAAAGCTTCCCAAGTGAAAAATGAGCAAACGAGCATGATGTCACACTTGCCACGCCACTTGTCTGCACAGCTCCCCCCCCCCCTACCTCCCCGGGAGGGGGAAAGAGGAGCCCCAGACCCTTCACGCTGGTTATCCACCTATCAGTTCTCCGCTGATGTGTTTGAGGCTCGAGCGTCTGACCTCAGCTCCCGATTTTCTCTGTTGTGCTGTGCCTTGTGTCCAGTACTACTCTTGCGGAAGTGTGCGAGCTGGGAGTAATATTCACAGGTACTCGGACAGCATGTGCTTAGGGTTCCCTCCCCTTCTCTGAGTGCCCTGTAAGTACCACCCTTGGCTTGGAATTATCTTCTACAAGTCACCTTGGGGTCTACCTCTGTTAGTCTTCTGCTGCCTGGTAATTGACAGCCCTGGGAGTGTTCGGGGGGTTTCCTTCTTCCTTGTTTACCTTGGGGTAAGTAGTAGTTTTGCACTGGTAAGGGCACGGGTTACTGTGTAGCTAGTTTTCACCTATTACAGTGGCCAACTCTGTTCCTCTTGTGGGGGTTTTCTTTTCATTTTGTTTCTGCCTGGTTGGGAGTCTGCTTTTGTTACCCTACGCCCGTTATCTTATGGTTTTGACCTGTGTTCTGTGGTACCCCCTGCTTGGCCCCCATGAGTGGACGTGTCCCGGTATTGATTGATTAAGATTAAGCCAACCAGGAGGTGGCATGGGCATGAATAGCATCTCCCGGGGGTTCAGTTTTAGAAGTTTGTTTGGTAAACTTTGTAGCCAGTTAGCAGTTCCCTGCCCGTAGTGAATACAGTCTAAGGGCCCTGGGAAACCCTGTGGGGGTGCAGGGGTCCAATGAATGCGACCACTGGGTCCCCTCTCGCTTTGTGCGAGTTTGAGGGGTGCTCTGTCCCCTGGTCTCAAGGCGACGCTTATTGTTTTTGCCTCTGTCATGCCGCCTGTTGGGTCGGTGACACCTTTGACCCAGAGTCCTGCGAGCATTGTTGCTTGTTTGTGACTATTCATGCAATCCACTTGTGACATTATCTGGGTACAGGCGGCTCAGGCGTCGCATGCTCGGTTTAGGTTGCTACAATGTGTTGGTTAATTGCTACCCCGGATGCCCCGAGGCTGCCCCCGCTTTGCTTATAGAGACCCGGACTTGGGGAGTCCACTCCACCTCATTCTTCTCCTGCTGTGGTTCATTCTGGTCCCCCCTGCCCCCTTGCTTCCGGTTTCGGGGTCGGAACGGGTTTTAGAGGCTTCTGAGACTTGGACAGTTTCGGGGGTTGCCCCTTCCAGGGTGGCAACAGAGGTATTCGAGTCGGTTCCTCCAGCTGTAGCATATAAGTCTGACCAGTGGGCCCCCTTCCTTAGTGTTTTTATGGCTGCCCCGGCTTTTTCTTTTGAGGCCAGGGCTTTGGAGGACGATTCGGCCTCGGGTCCTGGTGTGGAGGTTCCCGGGGTTCGGGGTGGGGGGGGCTGACTTGGGAGCCTTGGGTCCTGTTGGACCCTGCTTGGGTTTTCCTACCCTCTGAGTGGGGCTTACTGTTACATGGAGTGGGGGTTTTCTTCCCCCCCTCCCCTCCCTACGTACAAGTTGGTTTTGGTGTCGGCCTCTCCCCGGGTCCAATTCCGTCCTTCCTGTGGGTAATTTGAACCACTTTCTCAACATTATTATCTAGGACATGTATTCTTCTACATAATGTTTGAATCATATCGGCATCCTGCATGACCATTTCTCTCTTATGGCGTTGGTCCCATATGAGCCTCTGATTTTATTCTTGATTATCTAGGATCTCGAATGTTCAAGAAGAACTTAGATAATTAAAAAAAATATTGGAACATCTGTCGATTTCCGATGAGGATTACCTCCAGTCCTTTATAGGACTCATTGGTACTCTTCTGTACTACCGATCATCTTCAATACTATATCTAATTATTTTATAATCACATCCTATCTCAATAATCTGTCTCTGCCATAAATAAATAGTTAACTGAACATTGTAGGCTACGCTCCCCGATAGACAGGAGCGAGCGAGCTCGGGGAAAAAACGCCATTTTCTGGGCGAGGCCCGGAGGCTTCCTGGCAACCCTCCCTCTCCCACGCTTGGCGTTTTTTTCGCATGTTTTGACGTCCAGCCTCGAACTGACAGGTGGATAAACGGCACGAGGGGTCTGGGGCTGCCCCTTTCCCCTCCTGGGGAGGGAGGAGCTGCACAGACGAGTGGCGTGGCAAGTGTGATGTCAAGCTCGTTTGCTCGTTTTTCACTTGTGGAGTTTTGTCCACTCGTTAGCTTTCAGTTGTTTAACCAGAATATGGGTTTGTTTTAAGGCGCTTACCTTTCTGGGTGCCTGGCCTGGTCGATGGCACACACACAATGCTCCAAACACATGTGCACTTCTATAGGCCATTGCTCCTCGTGCCTCTCTGAGGGGGATCAGGTTCTGGCTCGTGGTCCCCAGTAGGCCTAGAATTCCGTTCACACTGATGCCAAAGTCTAATAATATTCATAGTAGTCTACATAGCTCCGGGGAGCCTCCGAATCTCACCCAGAAAATGGCGTTTCATTACATTCAATGCTGGTTTAGCCACAGTGATCCTACATGAGAGAGATGGTTTGGTTGACTGTTTATCTGGCCCTTAACCACTGTGCTGCACCGAGTTTATTGTGACATTCCCACTGTGCGCATGAAGCAAGTGTTCCCAAAAAATTATTTTTTTCTTTTGTAAAATGATAAATTCCCTTCCCTGACTATATCTATATAAAAATAAATACCAAATTCCACTTACTTTGGCTGTGAGGGCGTGGACAAGGTGCGCTGTGATGTCATCAGGGCCTGGTCGCCCGTGTGTGAAGCTCCCAGACACGGTCGCGCAGGCCATTCAAGCACCGCGTGTTGCCACAAATATATTTTGAATTATTTGTTTTATGTATTTCCAATGCGGTTTTATTTGTTTTATCGTATATGATGCATATTTGTGACCTTTAGAATATGTATACAGTAGAATGTTCATAACGTTCCATGGAACTGTGATACATGTGTCAGTAATGTGTCCACAATAAATGTTTGTCACAATATTATCTGTTAAAAATTTACTAAAATTACAATATGTACAGTTTCACACACTATTTACACAGTAACACACTGTATTACACACTCAGTACTTCGGAAGTGAGTAATAATCAACGAAGTAGTCCATGGTACACAGCACGGACTTTGCTCTTGTTACACCACGTACAGATAGATTTTCGCTTCCTGTTTCTTCGTTCTGTGTGCTTGCAAATAACGCACTCGAGTGCACCCTTGGCTTTAGTACTTGTAGGTGGTATGTAGCCAAGCTTGTAAAGCATAAGGTAGTATTGAAAAGGTTATAGGAAAAGATCAATTTGTAAGGTATTCTTGAAAATATCTCTGTAAGGTCCCACACAGGAAAAGATTCAGCCACCCTTGAAGAGTGTCCGTCAATCTGGAAGAGATTCAGGCATTCTGAAAGAGATTCAGCCAGCCTCAAAGAGTGTCAGTCAATATGGAAGAGATTCAGCTATTCTTGAAAATATCTATGGAAAAAAACACCATGGAAGCCACTAACACTGTTCATCTATGCTACTTGTATCAGATGCATCATCACTGAACGCAGAAAACGGTTCATCTATGTATCGTCTAAATAAATGGGAGATATCATAGGTGGGGTAAGGGTGGCGCTCAGAGCTACAACTGGATACGCTCGCTGTATCGTCCTCATAGGTGCTGTATCACTTGCATCCAACCTTTGTGTTAGGTCCTTATTGCACCTAGCTTCACCAATATTATGACCCTTATGTTCTTCAAACAATAAGGTTTGAATTTTACCAACAAAGCACAATCTTTCAACACCGCATCAGACAGGTGTTTGGGAGCCAGAGGCACGTGTGCCACCCATGGTTGCTCACTCGGTACTAACCCAGCCAGCAGCCCTAGGGCATTCTGGGAATTTTTTTTCAAGATGACTGCCTCTCACTGGAGATCCTAAGAGTCCATTTCGTACACAACAAACTGCGCACACATTTTGAATGGGTACGAAAAAATCAGAGTTTTCTCGGTTGGCGCAGTTTCCCACCAACCGGGTTTTCTCGGTTGACGCAGTCCAGTGGTTAAAAAGGCTGTTGATAGTCACACAGAAGAGGTTGTTCTGGAAACTAGAACATGCTGGAGGGGGTGACAAGGAGACTTCTGACGTGGATGAAAAATTTTCTGACAGACTGATGAGAGCGATAATCATCTCTGACTGGAGGAGTGTTACTAGCGGAGTACCACAAGGCTCAGTTCTTGCACCAGTAATGTTCATTGTCTACATAAATGATCTACCAGAAGGAATACGGAATTATATGTACATGTTTGTGGATGATGCTAAGATACTTGGGAAGATAGGAGACACAGACCAATGTAATGCTCTTCAAATTGATCTAGATAAAGTAAGTGCTTGGAGCATTAAGTTGTTGTTGTTATAGATTCAGCTACTCGGAACGAGTTCCAAGTAGCACGGGCTATGGTGAGCCCGTAGTGAACTTACCTGGCACAGGAGCGGTGCTGAGCATTAAGTGGAAAATGGAATTTAATGTGAATAAATGTCATGTTATGTAATGTGGAATTGGATAAAATAACTACACCAAACAAACATTATGTGGAAAGGCATTAAAGAATGAGATCTAGTGGTGGTTCTGGATAGTAAGCGGTCACCAGAGGAACACACAGAGAACATTGTGAGGAGTGTACGAGTCGCTTTCCATCTTCAGACTTGCTTTTAATTATATGGATGGTGAAATACTAAAGAAACTGTTCATGACTTGTGAGACCAAAATTGGAATATGTAGCAGTTGTATGGTGTCTATATCTAAAGAAGTATATAAATAAACTGGAAAAGTTGCAAAGGCATGCTACAAAATGGCTTCCGAAACTGAAAAACAAAAGTTACTAGAGGTGTTAAACATGCTAAAACTAGAAGATAGAAGAAGAGAGGATATGATCACCACTTACTAAATACTAACAGGAATCTACCAAATTGACAGAGGCATTCCTGAAACAAGCAACTTCAAGAACAAGGGGACACAGGTTCAAGCTGAGGAAACAAAGGTGTCCAAAAAATATCAAAGTTTTCTTTTGCAAACAGGGTGGTAGACAAGTTAAGTGAGAAGGTGATGGAGGCTTAAACTGTCAGTTGTTTCAAAGCGTTATACTGTACGACAAAGAGTACTTGGAAGACGGGACACCACGAGCATGGCTTTCATCCTATAACTACACTTGAGTAACTACAGTTAGGTAATTACTTCTAAGGTGTGACTAAATTGTCAAGGACCAACAGACTTGCGACACAATTTCCTGTGTAGCCGACCCTAAATTCATTAAATAAAACCATTTATGGTGTTACAAAATACATACTGACAAAAATCCAGGAAATCGAGGAGGGAAACAAAGTAGATAGTCATGGAAAAGTGTATAAATAATGTAAGAGGACTAGAAATTGACACAAGTACTTGAGAGGAAGAATTGGGAAGCCAGGCAGCAGGGAACACCACAAAGTAGAGTGGTGAGTGTGCCCATCCTATCAATGTGTACACAAAGACACGAGCATGACTGACTAGCTCAACATACGCCCTCCTACTTTGTCCTCAGGATTGGGCTTAGAACAAAAGAAACCACTGTGTCCCTTGATAAAACTGTTGCAGCTCAGAGCAGTAAGGATGAGTAGCTGTAAAGTTATGTACATGAACAACCCAGCGGGTTTTCTTCCTATTGGGGAGTGTAGTACATGCTGCTATGACGGTATATCCACTCACAAGATGAGAGGCGCTGCCCAATAAACTCGCCCATCGGGGCAAAATTTAAATTTAAAAATGAATGCAGATGGAAATACAAAGGGGTTAGTTCCCAGTAAGGTTAAACAAAACACGTACACAGCATCACAATAACAGAAAAGAAGCTCACAATTGTCATAGAACAAGTTCTTTTTGAAGGCAGGGCAAGTAATATCGAGGCAGGAGGTGAACACGGGTGGAGGTGATGTAGCCCTGCTGCAACAGCTGTATTAAATCTATGAAGAAGAGAGAAGAGAATCAAAAGGTAACCATTCAACAAGATTACATATTAGATGTGGCAACACTGTAGGGGGGGGGGGAGAGACAATAAAAGATTGGTAGTGGTCATTTTCCGGCCTCCAAACACCAGAAGGTCTAGGGAGTAACATGACTAATGTACTGAGACATGTCTCAAGATGATGGAAATGATGACCACAGTGGCAAGAAAAGCCACGACTGACATTCTCATACTTGGCTTGTGCATTGATAATTGGGGTTTAGCAGGTTAACATATAATTAATTATTTACAATTATAGAACTGCTTTCTTTTTCAGATACATTTACTAATAGGAAAGGTTGATGCAGCCATGTCAGATTTCAAGAAGGCTGTCGACCTTAATTCTAACTTCCCTATTGCCTTTGTCCAACGCTGCTACACAGACTACAGGTAAGGTTAAGAGTTCAGTATATGTATGTTTGTAAGCATGTATGCATGGGTGTGTGTGTGTGTGTATTATATATATATACTGTGAGTGGGGAGGGGAGGCCGAGCTGGTGGCAGCCCCCACCTTGAGAGTGGGGGGTGGAGACCTATCACCCCGCCGGCCTGGGCGAGCCAAACCTGGCAACTGTGTACTGTGGCACCCGGTGTCCAGATGAGTGGGCAAAGATGCTCGCCGCTGTTTCGTTGTCAAGGGCGAGTGGGGAGTCAAAGTGCCAGCTGTGGCCCACCGTAGTTGACGGCATAGGACAACTTTCCACTGATGGTGACACTCCATCATGATGTGGTACCTTGTAGAGCGGGTTACTGCTTGTAGGGGGTGCCCTAGCAGCAGCCGGGCAGCTCTGTTGAGTTGCCATCACGCCAGGAGTATGACAATTAATGCATCTAGTTGTCACAATGCGCCCGGCGTGAAAGAGGTCAAAACACTCCTGAGAATCATGATCACCAGCGGGTCCTGGAGGGGCAGCGCGCTGCATTGTGGCCCCAACGCTGACATTTGTAGCACCTCCGGCGTGGAGGTATATAGCGAGCCACTCTGTAAGTTCTACCCAGCACTAGGGGCACTGAGAGTCGCTTGGGAATCTCCGTTGATGCTGTCCAGTTTGCAACGACGAGGTCATTTTTAGTGCGGTGTGGGCTTTCCACATTGGCAGACCGGAAGCCCTCTGGGTCAATGCACTTGTTAACACCAAAGAAGACGATTTGCACCTTCACTGTATCATCACACGGTGCTCGCAACATTTTTATCCCAGCATATTCCTGCGTTAACAAATGTGTCATCATTCGTGACAAAGATATGATTGTCTTCATCTCTGTTTATCTTCATGCGTTTAGCGTGATGGGCTTTGGAGGTTGCAGAAAACCACTGAAATCTGTCAACAAGACCAGTGCCAGGAGGGAAAATCACGCGGGTTAAGCAAGTTCTTTCCCGCTGTAGTTGTCTTTTTTCCCTTCTTGCTCACCACCTCTTGGAATACAGCCCCAGTTTCTCCTTGGATCTCTCCTGCCTGGAGAGAGACTTATGTACCAGCAGCAGGTGAATCGGGAGCAATCTGGACTGCTGAATGCACATCTGGCTACCAGGCCTACCAGCAGGGGCCTGGTGGATAGCGCGCAGGACTCGTAATTCTGTGGCGCGGGTTCAATTCCCGCACGAGGCGGAAACAAATGGGCAAAGTTTCTTTCACCCTGAATGCCCCTGTTACCTAGCAGTAAATAGGTACCTGGGTGTTAGTCAGCTGTCACGGGCTGCTTCCTGGGGGTGGAGGCCTGGTCGAGGACCGGGCCGCGGGGACACTAAAGCCCCGAAATCATCTCAAGATAACCTAAGCGGTGACTCATCTGGGACAAGGGCGGTTGCCATGATTCCTTTAGCTTGTTATTTATGCAGATTATTAATATCACAGTGGTGACAAGAAGGCATGTCAGTCGATGAAACTGTTCGCTGGGTAGTGAGCTGCAGATTATCATGCAGCATCACTTACATTGAACAGCCAATAGCACGTTGTTCACACGATAGCATAGGAGGGGTGGGAGGAGATTTGGCACCTGCAGGGTCACGGGCGGGCACCAACCTCTTTAGTTGCTTCAGAATCAAGTACACCAGCACAGTTGCTTATGGTTCACCTCCACTGCAACATTTTAACCTAAGGTCGACACACCACCCTCAAACGTCAACAACACTGCACACACACAATTAACGAATGTAGAAGTTGGTCAGGTTAACGTATGTACACTGAACTGAGGCTGCATTGTTTCAAAGTCACCAGCGTTGTCGGATGAAAACAAGGCAATCACGGCGCTGTGGGTAGTAAGGCGCAAGAGCTATTTTCATGTGCCCGATACATGTGTGGTGTATGCCCAATGGCGAGTTAAGAGCAAAGGAGGCCTGAGGGCCTGAGGGTTGTCCCCTCACCACCACCTTCCCAACACGGCTGCATGGTCCACCTTCTTCTCCATCAAGGACACTTCCTATTTACCAATGCAGGTGATGACCATACCTCAGACACACCTATTCTGCATGTGTGACCCAGGTGTATATCGCTGCTAGGTTGTATAGCTCCTTAGCGCCGACTGTATCCATTTTGTAGTAAATCCATGTGGGAGAAGGCCTGGTGTGACCGATCGCTCCCGAGGCACAGGAAAGACTGTGAAAGGTAAGGCAGTAATAAATTCATGAAGGCATTCACTCTTCAGGGAGACAGGCAGTTCATAAAAATTTGTTAGATGTTAGCAAGAATGTTTACATTTGAGGATAATTTTCATCATTATTTTATGGTGTTGACAGGTATGCGTATCAGCTGGGAGACAAAGCAAAGGTGGAGGAAGTAATGAAGAAGTTTGAAGAGGCAATTAAGAACTTCCCAAAATGTGTGGAGTGTTATGTGCTGTATGCTCAGGTAATACTTCCTTGTGTCATGTGCTGTATGCTCGGGTAATACTTCCTTGTGTTATATGCTGTATGCTCAGGTAATACTTCCTTGTGTCATGTGCTGTATGCTCGGGTAATACTTCCTTGTGTCATGTGCTGTATGCTCAGGTAATACTTCCTTGTGTCATGTGCTGTATGCTCAGGTAATACTTCCTTGTGTCATGTGCTGTATGCTCAGGTAATACTTCCTTGTGTCATGTGCTGTATGCTCAGGTAATACTTCCTTGTGTTATGTGCTGTATGCTTAGGTAATACTTCCTTGTGTTATGTGCTGTATGCTCAGGTAATACTTCCTTGTGTTATATGCTGTATGCTCAGGTAATACTTCCTTGTGTTATATGCTGTATGCTCGGGTAATACTTCCTTGTGTTATGTGCTGTATGCTCAGGTAATACTTCCTTGTGTTATGTGCTGTATGCTCAGGTAATACTTCCTTGTGTTATATGCTGTATGCTCGGGTAATACTTCCTTGTGTTATATGCTGTATGCTCAGGTAATATTTGTGTTAGGTGCTGTATGCTCAGGTAATATTTGTGTTAGGTGCTGTATGCTCAGGTTTCCTTGTTTTGTGCTATATGATTAAGCAATATGTCCTTGTATTAAGTGCATCTTGGGCAAGGCTGACAAAGCTGGAACCATAGACCTGAAGGCCTTTACACCGGGTGTTGAACCAAGTAAATCCACATCCTCACAATGCTTCTCAGATAAGAGCTCCATGAGAGTAAAGAATTGCATGACCATTGCCAAGTGCATATGAGCCTTGTGTTCATCCCCATTTAGAGCACCATAGAGCACAAGCCCCACGGCAGAGTCATATTCCTCGCCCGACACCCAGGACAGAGAGGCGTCATCCCAGGGAGGGGGATTGGGGCCCGATTGTGGGAAAGCTTTGCTGGCTTTCTGGATGCTTTCCTGGGACTGGATTCACGAAGCAGTTCCGCAAGCACTTACGAACCTGTACATCTTTTCTCAATCTTTGGCGGCTTGTTTACAAGTATTAAACAGTTAATGAGCTCCGAAGCACCAGGAGGCTGTTTATAACAGTAACAGCAGTTGATTGGTAAGTTTTTATGCTTGTAAACTGTTTAATAAATGTAACGAAAGCCGTCAGAGATTGAGGAAAGATGTACACGTTCGTAAGTACTTGCGTAACTGCTTCGTGAATCTGGCCTCTGGTGAGGGTGACAATAATGTCCCCAGCTCTCTGAACCTCTGAAGGTGGAGGGCTAGGTTCTGGCTCTAGTTCCCTTAACAGGACTCTGGTGGCTGATGTGACCCCAGTAGTGGGGAATTATCTCAGCAAGATAGCCTCAGTAAGCCACCAAGGGGCTCCTCCAAGAAAACAAGTGATTGAGTATTGTACCATATATAGGCCTCTAGTGTAATATGTACAACTATATATTGATTCTATATATTGATTCTTGACCCAAGTCAAAAGCAAGTGTCTTGCAGACAACTCTTTTGCTGCTATTATGTCTGGTAATGTTGTACAGAAATAGTTTCAAAACACCAGCATGAAACACTAAATTGTGAATTGACTATTATCGCCTTGCTGGTGGTACAAGGTAACCTCATCTATGGTAAGCAATTAAATACAATTGCAGAATTTTTCATGTGGTCTAGAGTAATTGAATTACATTCATAATGTATTATAACAATATTTACTTCCTTTCCTATCAAAATTGGATGATGGGGGGAGAAAAATAGAAAAATATTTTATGATAAATTTGTATGTTATTTACATTTTTGCTTGGTGTTGTAGGTGCTGTGTGATCAGGGTGAACATGAACGAGCAGATAGCTTCTATATTAAAGCCTTGGAAGTAGATCCTGAAAATCCCACAACGCTGGTTCACCGAGCTCTACTCATACTTCAGTGGAAGGGTGACCTAGCACAAGCCAGGTCGTATATCACACAAGCCCTTGAAATTGATGACAAATGTGAGCTGGCATACGAAAATCTGGCTACCATTGAAGTACAAACGTAAGTATTGTTTGTGCTTTCTAGATGCAGATTCTTCCATAATAAGCTGTAGATAAAGTCTACAATAAATGTAGAAAATATAATAGATGTAGATAAGTCTGAAGCCTATATAAGGAAGTATGTAAATTAAGGGTTCTGTATGTTATACAATACAGTAGTGTAAATATTGTAGAATAATGTATTAATGGATCATGTGTACAATTTTTCTGTGGGGAGCCTCGTTAGCTCCCCAGAGCTATCCAGGTTGATATGTATCTATTAGCTTTCTGGCATCAAAGTGCATGGAGTTCTTGCCTACCAGGGACCACGAGCTAGAACCTGACCCCCTCAGAGAGGCATGAGGAGCCATGGCCTATAGAATCATCTGTGTGGTTGAGAGCATTCTATGTCTGGCACCCAGAAAGGTAGGCGCCCCAAAACAAACCCCTATTCTGGTGAAAATAATGCTACCAAAAGCCGAACGAGTGGACAGAACTCCCCAAACGAAAATTAGCAAACGAGCATGACGTCATCACTTCGCTCCGCTGCTGTCGCAAGCAAACAGAGCCAGCCCCCCCCCCCCCATCAATGGGACGAACCGTGAAAGGGCCGATGCACCTTACGAGCACCGAAATGGCACACAGGGTGATCCCCTGCACCAAATAGAAACTGAAACTAAAGCAGGAGCCAGAGGCACATGACCTGCCAGTTTCATATCAGTCAAGAACTGATGGTTGGATCACCGCACAATAGTCTGGGGTCCCCCTTCCCCCCTCCCGGGAAGGGGGGGTATGCAGACAGTGATGCGGCAATGTGATGACGTCATGCTCGTTTGCTAATTTTTGTTTGGGGAGTTCTGTCCACTCGTTTGGCTTTCGGTAGCAATATTTTCACCAGAATAGGGGTTTGTTTTGGGATGACTGCCTTTCTGGGTGCCTGTCCCGGTTGATGGCAGACATAGAATGCTCCTAACCACATGGGTGTTTCTATAGGCCATTGCTCCCTGTGCATGTCTGAGGGGAGCCCAGGTTCTGGCTCGTGGTCCTCGGTAGGCAAGAACTCCATGCACTTTGATGCCAGAAAGCTAATAATGTCATATCAGCCTGGATAGCTCCGGGGAACCTCCGGGGAACCTCCGGGACTCACCCAAAAAATGGCGTTTCATTACATTCAACACTGGTTTTCTGAGCTGCCTCAGTAGCTCCGTGTACCTGCACCTGTTCACCCTTTGTCTTCAGTGGAGTTCTAGATCACTTGGGGTGGCATAATAATGGGCTGGGTGGAGAGTTTGAACTCTTAGGTCACTTGACCTGCCATCTAGTGGCACACTGGATACTACCCCTTGGTTTGTTGACATCAGCAAAACTGCTTCCCTTGTTTCAGTCTTTGTTTTTTTGACTAACATATCTAGTTTGGTTTTCTTTTCCTGTATTATCTGGATGGTTTTACTCTATTATGAAGTTGATCTTAGATCACCATGCTCCTCTCGCCTCTGAGTACATCAGATAGTGGTCCTGTAAGCAAACCTTAACAAACTTAAGGAGTGTGTAGATAAATGACTGCTGGAATTCAATCTAAATAAGTGCCAAGTAATAAGTGGGTAAGGGAGACAGACAGGAGACCTGTCTGTCCTGCCTGATTTAACTATACCATTGGGAAAGGGCAGTTACAATAAGAGGAAAAGACCTGGGAGCAGACATAATCTAAACACTCACACCAGAAGCTGATGTGAACAGGATAACATCAGCAGCAGGGGGGAGTTAGCAAACGTAAGAACATCATTTAACAAACTAAACATGAAGACTTTCAAGTCCATACACACTTGTCTAGATGTGAGACCATTATTTGAGAAAGTTCACAGGTTTGCAACTAGATTAGTACCAGAAGTGAGAGGCCTCGGCTATGAGGACAGGTCGAGAGAACTCGGCCTCACAATTCTAGGGGAGAGGAGAAACAGAGGGAATATGATAGCTACATACAAGATCTTCAGGGAATAGATGAAGTGGATAAAGGAAACCTATATAAATAAGAAAAAAAAGAGGTAGGACAAAAGGACATCATGAAAGCTGCCTGTACAATTGAGTTGAAGTTATGTAAAGAAGTTCTAATTCCCTGTGTGCGTGGTAGGAAGTATGGGTGATAGGTGGGTAGGAAAGTGAATGCACTGAAGTAAGAGGTCGTTGAAGCCAATTTCATCCACAACTTTAAAAATAAATATGACAAATACATTAGCATTGAGAAGGGTAATTAGCACACTAGGTATAAACTGGTAGTAGGCGGAGCATTAAGAGCTAGTTCTTTCTTGTCCATAGTTACTGATAGATAAGCACAAGTCCAGAGGCCTGGTAGTGTTGTGTGTGTCTCTGCTACCAGAGACTAGGCTCCAGCTAGCTACCCAGACTATCTGGAAAAGGGTGTTTCATTACATTGAATGTTTTGTCTTTGTAAAGGCCTAACTTATTGTTGACAGGAGAACTGATGCTTGATTTGAATGGTTTTTGTAATGAGCTGAAGTCTGGTTTGAAAGATTACATAATCTTTAATTAACACGTATGATTTGCTTGTAATTATGTGTGTCTTTCAGTGGGAACCTGAAGAGAGGTGTTGAACTGTTCGACAAAGCCATTCCGTTGGCCAAGACAGAAATGGAAATGGCGCATCTTTTCTCTCTCCGTGATGCAGCAGTGGCCCAGTTGAAAATTGTTGAGAAGATGGGCATTAACATCCCTAACTTAGGCAGCTTGTAATGAGACTAATGGCAATATATTTGCTCTACACGGGAAGCTGAGAGACTAATCATAGCATGAAGATGCTCGTGTTTTGATGTGATCAGTTACTGTAAGTGAATGTAACCTGCTCTTTCAAACTTATATCATTCAAGTCAATCCTGAGGTGGACCATTTAGTTTGTATAGTAGAGTGCTCCAAGTGAATAAATGGGAAAAATAGTCAAGTTATGGAATAAATGTGTTACAGTAAAGCATTGTCTCATTACTGTATTTTAGTATTATTGCAGAGATGCCTCTGGAGGAATGTCATTCCTGCAGTGTAAATAATCTACTTTGTACGTTGATAACTTTGGAAATTGATTATATTCAGACCAAACTTACATGTATAATGTTGTACACATCTATGACTTTGCTCATTTGTATTAGTTATTTAGTATTCTGTAGCCTTAACAATCATATTCATACAGACACGTACATGTTCTACAGTTATATGTGCACATGCAGACATGCTCTGGCGTGTGCTCTCACACACACGCACGCACACACTGATGCATATATATATACACAGTACATTCATACCATTTTAAGGCTCCCAAGAATGTGAGCTTCGGGGTTCCTGTTACCACAAAATAGGAACATGATGTAAATAAAAAGTTACCCTTAATTTTTTTTTATGTAAATTGTGATAGTGAAGGTGAGTGAATATTGTTGTTGTGGTTGTGTTACTAGATGATCCCAAAGATTATATGAAGTAACTCCATAAGGACACCACTTAAGGGGATGAAAATGAGACGTTCACTCTCCCAAGTGAACCTGGCAATGTAAAACAGCTTAAAATTATTTGCCCTGGAATTGGTAGTTTAATTCATGCCTACTTTATATTTTGTTGTATGTCTTTTTGAATGTGTGTGTGGGGGGGAGCCGTCGGCCGAGCGGACAGCACGCGGGACTTGTGATCCTGTGGTCCTGGGTTCGATCCCAGGCGCCGGCGAGAAACAATGGGCAGAGTTTCTTTCACCCTATGCCCCTGTTACCTAGCAGTAAAATAGGTACCTGGGTGTTAGTCAGCTGTCACGGGCTGCTTCCTGGGGGTGGAGGCCTGGTCGAGGACCGGGCCGCGGGGACACTAAAAACCCGAGGGCACCAGAGCCGAGGCGTAACCCAGTATGCAACCCGTTCTCGCACTTTCGTATAGTCAATATTGACTTGCTTAATACGTGCATATGTGACATACTAAACATACTAGTTTACCTTGAAAAGTTTCATAGAAAACACCGACCTTACCTAACCATCTTAGTATGTTAAGATAAGCATCTTATTACTTCGTAATTACAATTATTACTTAACCTATTATAGGTATAGGTTAAGTAATAATTGTATTTACGAAGCAATAAGATGCTTATCTTAACATACTAAGAAGGTTAGGTAAGGTCGGTGTTTTCTATGAAGCTTTTCAAGGTAAACTAGTATGTTTAGTATGTCACATATGCACGTATTAAGTAAGTCAATATTGACTGTAAAAAAGTGCGAGAACGGGTTGAACATGGTGCAGAGCATCAAGATGACAAAGAGTAAGCAGGACAACCATAATCGAGTTGACAGAATTAGAGAGGAGCATGCGCCTTTCAGCTCTCCAAAGACGTATGGTGCTACTAGTCTTCCCCGGCTTGGTGCCTTCTTTTGACAATTTATTGGTCAAGTAAGTAATTATATTGCTTTTAACATAATTGTACTTGTTCCATTCCCAACACTGGACCCCTTATTTGAATTTCTACTTATGCATTGTGACTTGGCTAGGTCATGGGTCTGGCATTACAAGTCTGCATTCATAAAGATGACCTGTCTGTCTCCTCCAACAACTAATTCAGTGAGACTGATCTGGCCAAGTTGCATACCTTCCATGCTTTTTATTTTTCCGACTGCATTGTCCTACTTAGTCATGAAGCTCCTTGTATAATGTCCCACCAGGTCACTTGTGCCTCAAAAGTTATTGGATTCAAAGATTCCATCGATGAACTACCCAAAGGCACATCATATTGCCTTTGTTCTTTTATTGGCATCACAAGTGACATTTAGCACTCTTTGAATGTACTGTAACATGGACTGTGCTATATAGTCTTCCCAGCTTGGTGCCTCTTGATAATTACTCAGGTGTACATGTAAAATAATGACAAGCTGGGGGTAAGTAATTAATTATCAAAAGAAGGCACCAAACCGGGAAGGAAGGATATCAAAAGTATCCAATTCACCAAGAATTCTATCGAGGGACAATTGACCGTGAGGGACGGTCGGAAAACAGGACCTACGCTTATCCCGGAAGTCAGAACATTCAACAAGAATGTGCACAACCGTAAGAGGAACAATGCAATTTGGACAATAAAGAGCAGGGCGGCGCTCCATGAAGTGACCACGAGTTAAACGTGTATGGCCAATACGTAATCTAGCCAGAGCCATTTCCCACCGCCGGTTATGGTGGTAGGAGGAAGGCCACAGGGACACAACACAAGAGTACGCAGTTTGTTACCAGTAACAGAAGACCAACAACTCTGCCAATGGGCAAGGATGAAGGAATGAATAATTGGGTAAAAGTTGGAATAAGGAATACCTTTACGGGAGATGGGACAAGTGCAGATAGCTTCCCTAGCGGCAGCGTCCACACATTCATTTAGAGACACACCAACATGGCTGGGAACCCAGCAAAACTCTACCGACTTAAATTTACTGGAGATAAGAAACAGCCAATGTTGAATCTTGTTGACCACCAGTTATGGTCAGCAACGAATCGGATTAAAGGCATGAGGGCACTACGAGAGTCAACTACCATTACAATGGAGGACTGACAACGAGAAAGCAGGAGACGAAGAGCATAGAGAATAGCATAAAGTTCTGCTGTAAGGATGTTAGCCTCCGGAGGAAGGCAACACATACAAGTGTGGTCAGGAAAAATAACAGTAGCCCACACCATCAGCAGACTAGGGCAACCATAATCGAGTTTAGACAGGACGAGAGAGGAGGGTAAAGTGGGGAGCGTGCGCCTATCCGCTCCCAAAGAAGTATGGGACAAAACCTTACGTAGGCTAAGGGCCTTAGAGCATTCAACTCAGAGGTAAGACATATGGGACGACTAAGACAAACGAGTGTCAAAGATTAACCCAAAAAGCTTCGTGGAATCTTTGTACACAAGGGGATGACCATAAAGTGACTAAAGAAGGACGAAGGACGACATGCTTTCGAGTAAATGTCATAGCACAAGTCTTAGTTGCAGAGAACTTGAAGCCATGATTGGTGGCCCAAGACGACATGGCATCAATTGCAAGTTGAAGCCTCCGTTGAAGGAGAGGCGAATCATCACCCCGACAGCAAAGGGTAAGATCGTCGACATAAAGAGCGGAGAAGATGCCAGAAGGAAGGGAGGAAAGAAGACCATTGAGAGCAACCAGAAAAAAAGTAGTGCTCAGAACACTACCCTGGAGTACACCTTCATACTGCCGAAAAGAGGCAGAGAGGGTGGCACCAAGCTTGACTCAAAAGGAAGTTTTGGAGGAAGAGAGGGAGATTACCACGAAGATCAAAGAGCGAAATTGGGACAGAATATGGTATCTCCAGGTTGTCATAAGCCTTTTCAGGTCAAAAAGGAGAGCAACAACGGAGGTCTTCGCAGCAAAAGCAGTACGAATATAGACCTCCAAGTTCACCAGGACACCAGTCGTGCTGCGACACTTGCGAAAACCAAATTGAGAAGGAGAGGTGGTGATGGTGTTCCAAGAACCACATCAGACGGACATTTACCATACGCTCAACGAGTTAGCAGACAACTCGTGAGAGCAATAGAGCAAAAGTCCTTAGGGGATGTCCCGAGAGACCTGGGTTTTCGAATAGGAAGTACAACGGCATCGAGCCAGTCCTCAGGGACTGACGACACCTCCCAGACCTGGTTATACAGACTCAGTAAATACAGAGACGTGCACGGAGGGAGATGGCGAAGCATCTCATAATGAATGTCATCCGAGCCCGCTGCCGTCGAACTGCAGAGGGCCAGGGCAGCAATCTTGTGGATCTTCTTTCAGATCTGCCGTAGAAGAGTATCGGACGTAATGGTGGAAACATAAGACTTCCAACTCTCATGCTTAGCTGTACGGATGGTCCTACGGGCCACCACACTTGCTTTCCGGAACAAAATAAAAGAACCAGCAGTTTGTCGGCGTCGGTGTTTCTTCCAGGCTGCACGTTTACAGCGCACAGACCGAGCACAGTCTGCATTCCACCAATTTTGAAAATTTTGAAAATGATATAGCAAACAAAGCCAAGACCGAACCAAAGCTACTCCACAGTCACATCAGAAGGAAAACAACAGTGAAAGAACAGGTATTGAAACTTAGAACAGGCGAGGACAGGTATACAGAGAATGACAGAGAGGTGTGTGAGGAACTCAACAAGAGGTTCCAGGAGGTCTTCACAATAGAACAAGGTGAGGTCACTGTGCTAGGAGAAAGGGAGGTAAACCAGGCGGCCTTGGAGGAGTTCGAAATTACGAGAGAGGAGGTCAAGAGACACCTGCTGGATCTGGATGTTAGAAAGGCTGTTGGTCCAGATGGGATCTCACCATGGGTACTGAAAGAGTGTGCAGAGGCACTTTACCTGCCACTCCCCATAGTGTATAGTAAGTCACTAGAGACGGGAGACCTACCAGAAATATGGAAGACGGCGAATGTGGTCCCAATATACAAAAAGGGCGACAGACAAGAGGCACTGAACTACAGGCCAGTGTCCTTGACTTGTATACCATGCAAGGTGATGGAGAAGATCGTGAGAAAAAACCTGGTAACACATCTGGAGAGAAGGGACTTCGTGACAAATCGCCAACATGGATTCAGGGAGGGTAAATCTTGCCTTACAGGCTTGATAGAATTCTACGATCAGGTGACACAGATTAAGCAAGAAAGAGAGGGCTGGGCGGACTGCATTTTCTTGGATTGTCGGAAAGCCTTTGACACAGTACCGCATAAGAGGCTGGTACATAAGCTGGAGAGACAGGCAGGTGTAGCTGGTAAGGTGCTCCAGTGGATAAGGGAGTATCTAAGCAATAGGAAGCAGAGAGTTACGGTGAGGGGTGAGACCTCCGATTGGCGTGAAGTCACCAGTGGAGTCCCACGGGGCTCTGTACTCGGTCCTATCTTGTTTCTGATATATGTAAATGATCTCCCGGAGGGTATCGATTCATTTCTCTCAATGTTTGCGGACGATGCTAAAATTATGAGAAGGATTAAAACAGAAGAGGACTGTTTGAGGCTTCAAGAAGACCTAGACAAGCTGAAGGAATGGTCGAACAAATGGTTGTTAGAGTTTAACCCAACCAAATGTAATGTAATGAAGATAGGTGTAGGGAGCAGGAGGCCAGATACAAGGTATCATCTGGGAGAGGAAATTCTTCAGGAGTCAGAGAAGGAAAAAGACTTGGGGGTTGATATCACGCCAGACCTGTCTCCTGCAGCACATATCAAGCGGATAACATCAGCGGCATATGCCAGGCTGGCCAACATACGAACGGCATTCAGAAACTTGTGTAAAGAATCATTCAGAACTTTGTATACCACATATGTCAGGCCAATCCTGGAGTATGCAGCCCCAGCATGGAGTCCATATCTAGTCAAGGATAAGACTAAACTGGAAAAGGTTCAAAGGTTTGCCACCAGACTAGTACCCGAGCTGAGAGGTATGAGCTACGAGGAGAGACTACGGGAATTAAACCTCACTTCGCTGGAAGACAGAAGAGTTAGGGGGGACATGATCACCACATTAAAGATTCTGAAGGGGATTGATAGGGTAGATAAAGACAGTCTATTTAACACAAG